TCCGGTCCATTCCCGGTATCGCTACGACCTCGTTCTCGCCGGCAATTGATGGGGGATTGAACCGGACCTCATAATTAATTGTCTGCTTCGCGAACTGAAGAACCTCGGGAAGATAGTCTTCAGCAGGCGAGAGCTCGGGTAGGTAGACTTGAATACAGCGTTCAACGAGTGAGTTGGCTTGAGCACTATACCGGGCAGTTGCGCAAAGCATGTCCCAGAGGGCACGTCTGCCCTGTTGCGCAAGAGACTTTGACATGAAGACTCTACGCCAAAGCAGATCACCGAGATCCGGAGTTATTGAGTCCGGAACCATATCAATGATCCGGGCCAGCATATGGACCCTTGACGAAAATCCGGTCAGAGAAAACGGATCAGTAAAGTCGGTCTGGTTCAGGTCCACAGTATGAGCCAACTCCGTGATCACTAAGCGAGTCAGGTCGAACTCCTCGGCAAGCTTGCGAAGTTCCAAGGAATCATTGCTGGGGAGAAGGGCGTTCAGGGCCTGGATGCTGCCCACGGTGAACTGGTTCATTTCAGCGATGTCTTTGAGACATTGCTCATATATCTCCATTTTGTCAACCTCACTTAGGCCGATGTCCATAAAAGATTTCAGCTGGGCTGCTGCGAACTTCTGGAGAAGGGCCTTGTGCTCGACAGGGAAGTCATTGGCACCAGCGCTCTCACGGATCAAACGCACGCACAGACGAAGGGGAATTGCATCCGCATGAATGCGGTTCTGGGTCTCACGGTGACTTCTATCGCTGCATTTCTCTCTCACCTGGTGGAGAAGCTGTTCACAGAAATCTACCATTCGTGCGTCGAAGCGTGCCAACGGAAGATCTAGCAGCTTCGAGCACACGTAGATCAAAGCCGGCGAATTCGAGGTATGCATCTGAAAAGTCTTGCTCAACATGCCTAAGACCTCGGATACGGTTCGAGGATCCGGGCTTTCTGTTACTGTCTCCCATATCGTGTCTGTGTCCGCATCGGTATACGTGGCGGTGACGACGAGAAACCCGACAATGTTTCCGCTTCTGCTAATGAGCTGAGGGTGAGAATCAATTCCCACAATGTACTCAACGATCCGATTTTGTCGCAGGAAGCCCACGAGATAATCAACCACAGGGTGAATGGTGCCTTCAGTATTTCTGTGGATATGTTGCCTCCAGATATGGACGAGTTCTGCCTGCATTGTTTCGACACCAAAAACACGCAGCTCCATTCGTCCATCCATAATGTGTTTCTTCAGGACGCCAAACTTCCAACCATAGAAAATGATAGAGGAACGGTCCTCAGGGGTTACATCTTCTGAAAGCTCTATCGCGAGATCCTCCGCGATTTGTGAAGCAAGCTCTAGATCACGATTGCATAGCGTGGTATAGGAGAAAGCAATGTGGCGTAGCATGGAGTCGCTTGTCTCACTCGATACCCAAGGAGACTTCTTGGTTATGTGAAACTGGTATTTCTCATCTGCGGCGCGGATCAATGGGTAAGCACGCCTCATAGTGCGAGAGCAAATGGAGGAATTTATTAAAGCATCATCGGCGTGATACCTGCGCCGTTCGTTCCCTGACTCTATCAGGTTATGCACGATATTAACTATCGCAATCAGAGACGTTGAAAGTTGAGACCAGCGGGTAATCAGATTCAGAATGCAGGCCGCATGGTCGGACAAGTGTTGAATGATATCTAAAGCAGCAGCAACCTGGTCGTTCGTACGAGCGACCAGATTCGCCACGTCCGATCCATGTATATTCTCCATGGTGCGGAAAAACGGAATATTGCCTAGCTGCAGAATCCAACCCAGTGACACCAGGTAGGGTTTCGATAAGGGGTCTGTTATCTGGGCCTCGGCATCATCCACAGCCTGGGTCAAGAGGATGGTATCTAGGTCAATGACATGAACAGCCAAATGAGCGAAATCAAGGAAGAACTCTTCTAGACAGGCCCATACCCCCCGCCCCTCATCCGGCAGGAGCTCCACGCTAAGAATATGTTAGTACTTGGGCTTTGTGGGGTTGATCGGCAAACTCGATAGAGTTTCTCCAAGGCCAAAAACACGTAGAAGTCACTCACACTCTGCGCAACAAGCTATCCACAACGCTGGGTAGCTCCTCCCAGAAGTCCCGGTCCTCCGCCAAAACTTCATGGGTCAACTGATCTAGATTGTTTGCGACGTCATCGAACCAAGCTTTCACGGCAACAAAGACCGGGGTATCATGTTGGGAGCCTATAAAATAACAGTCAGAATCGACACGGCAAACGCCAGGGTAAGGCAATCGAAGAAGCGCTTTACCTTTCTCAATCATCGTACATATCTCCTCCAGATTTTCCCGCGTCTCATTTCCCATGAAAAGTCTGGGGAACGTCTCCACCAGCGGCGGCTGGTCATGCAGCTGCACTACCTCTGGGGTTTCCGGTTCGCGCATCGCCTCGCCCAACGACTTCCAACTGGAGGTATTCGGGTCCTGATCCATATCTTCCAGGTCCGCCACCTCTATCTCCGGGCTCTGTGTGGGTGATGATGATAGCGATATGGCGGTGGAAGCGTCGAGGCCGGTCCCGCCTGCTGCGGACTGAGTGGGAAGATCACGGCTTGGATGCTCGACCGGGGAGTCACCAGGCTCAGACGCCATGTTGTCGTTGGGCACAGGAGACTTCAGCTTTATGACCACTCGGCTGGCCGGGCGAGAGGAGGGAGAAGCGTCCTGGCCCGTTGTGGCAGGAGCATCCGGGATGTCGTTGGGGAATCGAGTAGCGGCGGTTTCGTCGGGAATGGACCTAGACTCGCAGGTACCACTCCCACTGTCGAGACGAGGGCGTTTCCGGGTGGATTGAGGATCCGACTCTTCCATGGGATGACCGAGGGGACGCGTCGAATCAATCGAGGAGGTTGTTTCAGGCGGGGTGCTAGAGCTCTCTAGCGGGGCAGCTGCCATGACATTTTCTTAGCCCGGCCGATGGGGGACGCGACAAGACTGTGAATGGAGATGGGGGGAAGGATTGAATCTAATTTAGCTCTAGGGGCGATTGATAAGAAGGAAAAATGACGGCAGACCGAGCGCCCGCACACAAGAAAGGGTGGTGAAATGTGTGGGAGAAAGAGAAGCAAGTCGGGTTGCGGATAAGAACAATGCGGGAAAAGGAAAGCCAGCTGAGAGGGGTGAGTGGAAGAGGCAGCGATCGGAGAAGCGATAGCTGTTCGGACACCCAAGGAGGAACTGAAGTAGAGAGAGTGTGTGTGAGGGCAGGTCGATGACCGACCGAAGCTGATTAAACAGCTACTAGCTGGAGAGGGATAGAGGGATGGGTGAACAACTGGTTCAAGTAAAATGCGACAGTGAAGAATTGAGATGGAAGATGAGCAGAGCAGCAGAAGAACTAACTAACTGAAAGGTCCAGCTCTGACGTTGCGGTGGAGCAACGGATTGGCGGGTGTTCCAGGGCGAATCGGGGATCGGCCTGGAAAGTGGTTGGATGGTTGGATGGTTGGATGGTTGAAATGATGGATAACGAACTTTTCTTTACTTTCCAATTATCTATCGCTCTTCGATTCAATCGACCTATTTATCATTCTTCTGGTTTGTTCTGCTGATAAAATATCTCCAATCTCTGGAATTATCTTTTCCATCTACAATACGGGAGACTCCGTCCATCAATGACTACTACTCCATGATACATCCCTTTTGATTTTCACCTGCAGCGCTAAAAGATAGTCACTAACTCTGGTTGGTGGGGGGAAAGCCAGGATCACATCTGCCTAGTATTAGGGGAAACTATAGTCGCTACTGTTACCTGGAAGCTTCCTCAATCCGGTTCGCTGAATTAATTAATTGTGCTACCAATTCTCGTATGTATGCGTAGTAATGATTCCCCTCGTTTCTCACGCATGGAGTAAGAATGGACACGGTCTGGACTGCCAACAAAGCGAAGATCAATCTCACCTTGAACCGAATACTGGACAAAAAGGATCAAATTAACACTCAAAAAAAATCACACTAAAATCCATCGGTGCCATTGGGCCCAGAATAAATAAAGACGCATGAGGAGCAGCCGCCCATCTCAATATGCTTTCTCTTGGTTAAGAATTCCACCCAAGCGCCCTGTGTTACCGTTGGCTGGTACTTCTGTCATCCGCGGAAAGACAATCACTATGTCAAAGTGTTCCTATCGGACATTTGTTTCATTTCGTGCATGCCTCAGTTTTTAGCCATGGCTTTCCCTGGCCATTTATTTTCCCATTGTCCCCACCAGCCAGCCCTAGGAGAAATTCTCCAAGTAGGAGGAAATATTCGGGGGATCCCGTTGGGTGGTTATGACTAGAATGTATGCATTGTATGTCATCTCAGCTTACAGCGGAAGATAGTACTTGTTTAGTAGTTAGTCCAGAAGTACGTACCCAACGACGTACCTGTATAGTTAGTAGTAGCTTTTACCTGGCTGCCAGCTGTACTTAGGATAGGCAGGGGAAGCTGCAGGGGCACATCATGATCGCATTCCTCCCCGCCGCTTAGGCGAGCCAACCTCCATCTGCCTCCATCTGCCCTACTCCAAACCCAGCTAGAGCCCCTCTCGTGCCCTGGAGCTTATTTGCCCCCATCTCCACTTGAAGCTTTCCAGCTCATTTCCTAGCGTGGGGTTATCTCCCATCACGCCCAGCAAATCAACCCGTTATTGCCAATTAGTGCGTTCCGACTCGCGCACCGTTGTCAAGTGTCATCCCCCATTCTGCTGGTGTCCAGGGTCTGTTTTTCGACCCCACTGCGCTGTCGATCATAGTGAATTAACCACCCCCCAACCCTGTGCGTCGGGGAACCAGAGAAGAATGCTTGTGTGACTTGTGCCGAGTCGGCAGATTCCTTTTTATGATATATCTAATTATGTACAATCGTTGGGTAACCTCAGTGTTTAAGTGCAAAATCAATCACGACCGACACAGGAACCTCTATTCAGATTAATCACTGCGAGAGCATCAAACAAATACTATGATTCAGTTACTCCTTCATCGAGGTTTCAATCTTGCGAATCACTCTCGCTGGGTTTCCCACAGCCAAATGAAACGCAGGAACATCCTAGCATGGCAACCATACTTATCAGCAAAGACCATTTTTGACCCTCACACAAGATCCCAGGAATGGTAAGCAGTCTCGAACGTACCTTGGTCACCACACTTCCAGCTCCAATAACCGCACCTTTTCCGATCGTCACTCCCGGCAACACAGTCACATTCCCTGCGAGCCAGCAATCCTCACCAATATGGATTTCTTTCCCCGACTCTGGACCTTCCGTTCCGTTGCGCACAGCCGGATCAAGAGGGTGCGTGCCGCTATAAAGACTAACCTTGGGACCCAACAAGGTGCGCGCCCCAATCGTCACCAAGCAGGTGTCGATAATGACACAGTCAAAATTGATGAAAGCGCCTTCTCCCACTTTCACGTTGTACCCGTAGTCCATGCGAATGGGAGGCTCGATCCAAGGATGCTTCTCTAAGAGCTTGTCATCCTCGGCGGGATCCTGACTGGCAGGCGGGAGAGGGGTGGTATCACCCACAATGCTGTTCCTGTCAGCCCGGTTGTATCCGCCATGCCGTGGAAGACTGTTCCATCCGCGTGGAGCCTGCCGTGGTTGTATTCCGGCGTGGGGACATCGATCTGATTGTGTTCACTTACTCCTTCCACAACTCCAGGGACCGTCGACGGGACACGTCGCCCGCATTGTTGAAACGGCGACAGGCACTGGCGCAACGCGCTCGATCCGCTGTGAGATCGGAGACGAACGCATGATACAGCTCGCCCCGACGCATGCGTTCTCGATTCTCTTGCAGATCCATGGTTGTATTTCGAATGGGACAGCCGGAGAGAGATTCCTTTGTTGCGTTATCAAGGCGGGGTGAATCCGGAGTTTAGTCCGAGCACAGCACTGCGGGCCGTCAAGTGGATGAGGGATCTTAGTAGACTCCTACCTGATTACACTTGCCTAGCATCGATGGGAAATATATTGCCACTGATATATACAAAGCACTTGATAGCATACCATAGATATAGTGGTTATGACTGCAAGCCGTCTGGAGATAAGCCAATTCACTCTCCGCATCGCCAGCCATAATTGTCATTCTGCAAAAGCACAACTCTCCAATACCCAGTATAACAAACAATCCCTCCAATCCAAATGACAATCTCTCCAGTCTATCATCTATCAACTTTCCCCATACAAACTTCATAAGACACATCGACTATCTCCTCTAGAATAAGTCAACTTTCCCTCGCGCGCAGCGACCCATCACATTACCACAAGTACAAAGTACCCACAACCCACCAATCAGAAGCCCATCCGCCGGAGCTCCTCCGCATTGGATCGCAATTAATATTGTTCTCCAAAAACTCCCGCGATTGTTCAACAACTCCATATAAACACCATTCAGCACCCTCTTCAGCATGACAATCCATTGACAACACCAGAAATCTCAACCTCCACTACACCTACCAACAACTACCTCAACACCAACAACAATAATGTCGCACTCCCCTCCCTCCCCCTCTCCCTCCCCATCCCCATCACCACCATTCCGCCCATACCGACCACCACCACCGCCCACCACCAACAACCACACAACGACAACAACAGACACCTCCATCCTCCCCAACGGCCCGAAATCCCTCTCCAGCATCTCCCTCCACGCCTACCTCCTGGGCATCCTCCTCGGCCTAACCAGCACGCTAACCCTCCTCCCCCTCCTCTACGGCGACCCCCTATACACCCCCCTCTGGCGCATCCCCTTCTTCCTCTCCTCGCTCTCCCTCTTCCACTTCCTCGAATACTACACCACAGCCGCATACAACACCCACTTCGCCACCGTCTCCGCCTACCTCCTCACCTCCAACGGCTGGACCTACCACATCGCCCACGGCTCCGCCATCCTCGAATGTCTCCTCACGCACACCTACTTCACCACCCGTCCGGTGCCGCTATACCTTCCCCCCTCGCTCACAACCTACCAAGTAGCCGCTGGCCTGTTCCTGATGGTCCTGGGCCAGACGATCCGCAGCGTGGCCATGGCGCAAGCCGGCAGTAACTTCAATCATACGGTGCAGGTCACGAGACGGGAAGGGCATGTGCTTGTCACGGGCGGTGTGTATTCTGTCCTCAGACATCCGAGTTACTTTGGCTTCTTTTGGTGGGGGTTGGGGACCCAGTTGGTTCTTGGGAATGGGGTGTGCTTTTTGGCGTATGCGGTTGTGTTGTGGAGGTTTTTTAGTGGGAGGATTTGGAGTAAGTTTGATCCCTCCACCTTTTCCTGTTTTTATGGCTTGTGGGTGTGTGCTAATGGTTTTGTGATAGGGGAGGAGAAGTTCTTGGTTGCGTTCTTCGGGGAGGAGTATGAGAAGTATAGGAAGAGGAGTTGGGTGGGGATTCCGGGGATTCATTGATTGGTGGTGCTTTATATTGGTATCTTTGAGACTATACATATAATTTTCGTTCTGGGTGGAGTTGGTAAAGAAGGGGGGGATTGTATGATTTTGATTTGGATGTTAATATATAAGGAATAAAAAAGAAAAGTGGGATTTCATCGCTAAATAGCAAAAGGTATCAATGCTCCATGAACGCCGTGGCTATCGTGACCCCATGCTGTGTAAAATCACACCCTTATATACAACCTCATATACAACAAGGGGAGAAGCTAAAGCTTACTCTCCCTCGCCACCGCCCCAAGAGCACCACTCATATACGCCCCCTGTCCCTGCCCCTGCCCCTCAGCTTCATCCTGTCGATGCTCCGCATCAGCCCCGAATTCATCTCCGTAGAGAACAAGCTCCCTGCCACCACGCGTACTCCACCATGTGACACAGAAATGTGCCCGTTCGACATCCATCTCGCCGCTACTCAGCGCCTCCCAGAACCGTTCCACGCATTGCTTATGCATATCTGGTGTCTTGATGCTGTTAAGTAATTGCGCTGTGAGGGGAAGCCATTCCTCGAGGTCTTCCACGCGGAGGAAACAGAGACTGTCGATGAGCGCGAGGGTCAGCGCTGCTTGTTCCGACACGGGCGGGGATTTGCCGAGGTCGGGGCCGTCGAGTTGAGTTGATAATGATTGGGGGAGGAGTTGGTCGGATGCGTGGAGGGCTCGGTCATAGAGCACTTCGAGGAGGATTGATGGGAGGAGGCGTTGGGTGTTGGCGATTGGGGAGGGCGGTGCTGTGACTTGGATGACGGTCTTGAAGGCTAGACGGAACTGTCGCGCGGAGAGGTTTTCGGGGAATACCTGTAATAGATTGTTAATATGAGGAATATAGGGGTAATGAGAAGGTAGCTTACAGCAAATAGGTTGTCGATGTAAAATGGAAGATGCTTGGCTGCTACGGCGGCGTTGTTCGGGATGGCGAACACGGCCAGGACCGTGCTGTGGGCGGCTTCGAAGATCTCCAGGAGATGGTTATTTCCGCCGGCTGGGAGGTAGGGAACGGCTGCTGCAACGAGAAGCTCTTCGCTGCATGCAGGAGATAATAAGGGAGTGAAGAGTTCCGACGTGTTGAGGAAGAACAAATCCAGGCATCGCTCTATAGGATGGTCGGGGATCTGACCGAGCTCACTGGGCTTGATGCTTCTCAGGAAATTCTCGGCCAGATCGGGGTAGTGTGATAGGATATCCACAGCTGTCAAGGTGACAAACATGTGCTGCGAAGAAGCGTTCTGGCCCATGCGGGATGATATGAAGTAGAGATTCCGCAGTATGTGAAGCACCTGCATGGATATGAACGGAGCACTGCGGTGAGCAGCCAGCACAGGGTCATTGATCACTCTTCCCAGAACAGCCCGGAGAACAATGACAATAGAATACAGGCAATTACGGAGCAGTCTCCAAAGTCCCGGGATGGTGGTCCTCAAGGACTCAGCGTCGAGGAACTCCGCCTCCTCGGACTTGTCGACCTCCGACAACTTGTTCAACCGCCACTGCACCATGAGCGTACGCACAAAGTCCGTGATATGGTCCAAGGTTTGCGCAACCAGACCAGAATCTTTTGCATTCTCTACTGCATGTGCCATGAGCCGGGAGAGCGGTCCTAGGGCAGACACGAGGGGACTAGACGAGATAGCCGTCACACGAGCAAACGTGTCAGACTGCGCCAACCACTGGAATTGTTTGCCAGGAGCTTCCACAATGTCCTTGTCCACAGTGCCCAGGAAGTATCCTCCCTCCAGGCCTTCGGGTGATGCATAGGTCGCATTGACCATGACCGGTAGCAAGACGTCGAAGTCAAGCCTGCTCCTTTCCGAGTCCGACAGCAGTTCAAAGGTGTAGTTGAGGACCATCGTGACACAACGACCGTCAATCTCATTCCGGGGATCCAGCTCCTCAAGCGCAAGCTGTGAAGCCGTCACAAGCGCCCTTTCTAGCTTCCGCCGAACGTGCCACGGCAACCCCTGTCTGTTCTGTCCCTCGAAACCCAGCAGTAGCCCCCCAATCAAGATTGTGTGTCTCCATCGCGGCGACTTGTCATCCGCTCCATTGATGACAGCTTTGACCCAGTCCTCACGTTCGATCTTTCTAGCCTGTGTGTAGGGCGTCCTTGAATCGTCTGAAGCTTCGCTTTGTACTATCGCGATGGCGGCTGTGTTGAATATGCTGAGGATCTTGCGACACGTGAGAAGATCGACAGGACGGTCCCAGATAGCTGGAGTTGCTAGCAGCTGTGACGCAAGCAGAGTAATATTCAGAGGGTTTCCAAGGACGGTCAAAAGGCTGGTCGCCGTGGGAAGCAAACTAGCGAAGTCGGTCAGTTGCGTCCGCGCAGCCGAGGTGCGGAGAGGGGGAGGCTATCATACGTGAAGACATCCTGAAGGTCAGGTGAGAATTGAAGCGATCTCAGAAGAGCACCCAAAGAGCGTTCAGTCGCCATGATGTCAAAGGGGCGTCAATGGTTTAACCAGTAAAGTGGACATTAGACACAACCCAAGTGAGACTGACAGAGAGGTATGGGGAGATAACGGAAACCAGCTGCTTCCAGTTGCCGCGGAGAACCCCAGATCACCTGCCGAGGTTCGTCGTGCCGGGAGCAAACAGTGCAAACCACGAGCTCCTCCGTTCCGAGCGGATCTTATCAGCTTCGCGACCCTTTCTGGCCTCCGTGGTATATGTCCGCATCAGTGGCTGTCGGCCGGTTTACCAGGTCGTGCTCATCTTATGACTCTCAATTAGTCCATGTGGCAGGCCGGGTAGCCTTTTTGCATTCCAATGGCCGACAACCGGGTTCCGATCAACTATCAAACGCCTCCTTTTCCGTCCCTCTATGAGCTCTTCCCAACGAAGAGTACTGGTGCATACTACCTCTACTACAACAAGGACATTTGGCGTTTTACTCTGTACTGGACCTTGATCTTCTATGGCGCAAGCCATCTGCTGGTCGCGGCATGGGCTGTGGCCATGCAATGCAGAAGCTGGAAAGCCTGTCTTGCGGTTCCCTTAGTATACATGGTCATAGGTGGATTGGAGGCGCTTTTAGCGGGGAGTATAATTGGCCTCGTGTGAGTCCTCTTGATGCTACGTTCTATACTACTCGCAGTGATCTGACTATTTGATAGTTTAGGTGCAGTTTATGAAGCGGGTAATTTCAGAATGTCGACCTGGATCCCCCTTTTGTGGGGTGGTATCAATGTGTTGGTCCTCATTCTATCTAGTTTCCCTATCCCAGGAGGACTATGACGAAGACGAATCGGGATGCCGACCTGGCCACATCTAATATTCCCTTACCTGCGGTGTCGATAACAGGTACCCACGGACAGCATGATCGTCTTATTATGGTCGAGAGCGCAGATCCTCGTCGAAACCGACTATAATACATACATAATGTTCGCTGAAAGTTATTGAGGCCACGCCAGCAACCGAGCGACCTGGCATTGCGCCATCTTTACGGGCCAACCGAGTTTTTGAGCACTAGATGCCGCAGCTGGAATCATCTTCCATATCCGTGATCGGGCGTACTGCTCCCTTGCAGGCCGGGAAGTCCCCCGGGCATGCCAGGAAAGTTTGGCGGCGGGAAGTTCTGGGGCAGCGATATTCCTTGGGAAAGAAGCTGCTTCTGCAGTTCCGCCAAGTCAACGTTCACCGGAGGTGTCCCCGACATAGCAGGGTGCATGGGAAACCCTGGCAATCCAGTCGTAGGAGGGAAGTTGTTCGGCTGAGGGGGCGGTTGGCTCGACAAAAGAGCTGCTAAACGCCCAGGATCCATCTGTGGCATAGAATTGGAAAACCCCGGCTGGGGCGGGGGCTGGGGAGCCCCAATCCCGGGCAGTATCGAACCCATCCCGTCTGGCTGTGGTGCGGCGCCAGGTGGTGCGAATTGAATTCCAGGAAGAGACGACATACCGGCCGGTTTCTTCTGGTCGACCAAGCTCTCCGCCTCATCTTGAAGTTCTTGTTCCTCCTCTTCACGCATCTGCCGCCGTCCGAAGCCCCTGCTCCATGTACCCTGAGCTTCCGCCGCTTCTTCTCCGATATGGAACCTGTCCTTCATGTAACTAGTCTCCCCGGGTCTGGCACGGGACCAGAACCGTGTGAAATTATCTTTAGATCCGGATGCAAGAATGTGACCAAGAGGATGCCAATCGAGGGACCAGATGGTGGCACCATGCGCATATTGTACCTTGTGGGCAGGGTATATCACCTGCGCCGGCGTGTTAGCCGGGTCGTTGCTGTCATATGGCGCAATTGTAGGGATCTGCCCGGAGGGCAAATTAGGTTCATCAAGTAAATAGTGATATAGAGATCCATCCTCACTACCAGTAGATATGAGAGAGCTGTGGATCGGGTGCCATGTAAGAGAGGAGACGGGCTTCTCATGGCCTCGGAGGATACAAATATCTCGCATCATGCGCAAGTCGAAGACTCTCGCCGTTTGATCCCGAGACGATGTAGCTAGAAGGTTATTGTTTACGCGGGAGAACCTCGTCGCTGTGACAGTATTCTTGTGGCTATGAAGCGTTGTTAAGCATCTTGCTGTGCGCGGATCCCAGAACTTGACTTGGTGGTCTTTGGACCCAGACACAAGCAAACCTTTGGTGGGATGCCAGTCGCAGGATTTGACATCCCAATTGTGACCGGTAAGAACGGTATCGCAAGTTCTCGCAGTGAAATCGAAAATCTTCAGTGTTGTGTCGTCGGATGCGGAGAGGAATTTAGTATCACTGGGTGACCAAGCTAAATCGCGAACAGCATCGTGATGTGCGTCATCGATCGTCTCAACGTTGTTGAAGTTAGGTCGCCAATACTTCACGTCACCCTTCTGTCCTCCGGATATCAACCAGTCATGACTGTGAGACCAAGCTAAGGAGGTGACTCCAGCTTGCAACTGGTCGTAATGTGCCTATTCAACCATCAGCAACAAATCGTCGGCCAGCAGATAATCGCAAGCAAACAACACGCACATCCATGACTGTTTCGAAGTTGAAGGCAGTTCCATTCCAGAGCATGAACTCGCCCGTATGGCCTCCCGTCAGCAGGCGCCTTCCTTCCGGTGTCCATCGTACGACAGTGATCGGTTTCTTCGACTTTCCGATTGACTGATGTAAATGCCGCACCGGGATAGTGTCCGCTGGAGAATGAACTCGGGCAAGAGGTGGGAGCATCTAACAAAGAGAATTCCGCTCGTGTCAGTTGAGGGGTTGTATCAGAATGTGCGCGGACGTCTGTCGCACTTACATCCACAACATAGCTTGCACTAGGCCTTTCCACCTCAATCTGATGACCACCCTTATAGCGAGGTTTCCGTGTGCGTATCCATTGTACCATCGATGATCCATAGTCCGTCACGAGTCCTACAATTGACGGTTAACTTCGCCAAACGAAAAACGAAGGTAGAGGGGTAAACAAATGTGAACGCATCGGGACAAAGGATCGTATAACACGTACTCGGTCGTCGCGGCCCAGCAATTCCCCCTTCGTAGGATTTCGGAGGCCTCCCAAATGGCTGGGCATCATTCCCAGGGTCGTCGTAAAAAGCCATTGCGACAAAGCGCACTGCCGAACGCAGGTAGTAGGTTTACAAGGAAGAAAGAAAGGATGACGGAGGAAGCGGAGAGACAGTCGCTAGCATGACAGGGGAGGCAAACGGGAGGAAGCAATGACAGCTAGCCGATGCTCAACCTGGTGGTAAGATCCCCAGCTAGAGCCAATCGACCATGTCGTGCATGCAGCAGGAGCAGGAGCAGCGCTTGGTTTGATTGTCGCTTTGGTGATGGCGTTGGGTGTCGGAGCGTCGAATGAAGAGCAACCGCCCTTGGCTGCGCGACCGTCATTGGCCGCGACAAAGCCAGCCGCTGCGCTGCCATGAATTTTAGGCCCGCAACGGCCTCGATCGGCCTGAGGCCAGGCCGTTGCGACGCCGCAATTATGCGTTCTTCCCCTGCAACCCCCGCTGCTGTTCCCTGTGGCCATTATTAGTATTTAAAAACTACCTTATCCCTCCTTTTCCCCCTCTCCCCTCTAAAACTTGTCCAGTTTTCTGTCATGTCCATCGTGGACAGCGCACCCTGGTGGGATTCTGTGTCCTGCGTTCTAAGCTATTTCCCGCAATTGGTTTGAACCGAGGCCAGACAAGCTGCTAAACTACAAGTCTCCCTATACTTCGGGCTTGTGATACTACTCCACTGTCAAAAGTGGCTCGTTTCCCACAACAAAATCAACATGTCTCCTACACAAGAGGCCTCACATAGCGCTAGTACTGCTATCAGTACTGGGACTGACATACACACATCCCCGCAAAAGCCCATGAACGGGAAAGCTTCCAACGGTCATCCTCCCAAAGGGACGAATGGCGCCACCAAGACCAACTGGAGAAGGAGAAGCAAATATCGTCATGTGGAAGCCTATCATTCGAAAATTCGGCATTCCAGTCTCAGTCGCGAACCCAACGTCACGGCGAGTTTCCTGGGCTTCCGAAATCTTATGGTCATAGTGTTGGGTTGGTTTGCCCATCCTTCTTACCCGTGTGTCCGCTTCTGGCTAATGCTTTGTTTCCGGATCTAGTCGCAATGAACCTCCGACTCATCATTGAGAACTTTATGAAAGTAAGCCACTTCTGAGGATCAACATTCATCAACGCAAGCCTAACTGACCTCTTCGAATAGTATGGTGTCTTAATTTGCATCAGATGCCACGATTATCGGAGGCAGGATGTTGTGCTCGGCTCCGCTCTCTTTGCGCTCGTCCCATTCCACCTCTACGTTTCTTATCTCATAGAGCTGGCCGCGGCAAGACAGGCTAAGAATATTGTTGGCCAGAAGAAGAAGGACGGGTCGACCGAGGCAAATGAGAGCGAACAACGCATCTTCAAAAACACATGGTGGATCTCCGCTTTCTTCCACTGCGTGAACACCCTTCTGAGTTTGGGAATTACGAGCTTTGTCGTGTATTTCTATGTTCACCACCCAGGTATCGGCACCCTTTGTGAGCTTCAAGCTCTTATTGTGTCGTTCAAGATTTGTTCGTATGCCTTCACCAATCGCGACCTCCGTGAGGCCATGCTTAACCCTTCTGTCGAATCCGCCCTCCCGGAAATATATTCGGCTTGCCCATACCCCAACAATATCACCCTGGGGAACCTGGTCTACTTTTGGTTGGCGCCTACGCTAGTTTATCAGCCAGTATACCCCAGATCGTCACACATCCGGTGGTCGTTCGTGGCCAAGCGCCTGTCTGAGTTCTTCTGCCTAGCCGTGTTCATCTGGCTTCTATCTGCTCAGTATGCGGCCCCCGTCTTGCGCAATTCGATCGACAAGATTGCCGTCATGGACATCGCATCTATTCTGGAGCGCGTGATGAAACTGTCCACAATCTCTCTTATCATCTGGCTGGCCGGGTTCTTTGCGCTCTTCCAGTCACTGCTGAATGCTTTGGCCGAAGTGATGCGGTTCGGAGACCGTGAGTTCTACACTGATTGGTGGAATAGCTCCAGTCTTGGAGTGTATTGGCGGTCATGGAACCGGCCTGTATACCTCTTCATGAAGCGACATGTCTACTCGCCGCTTGTTGGTCGTGGGTGGCATCCTCTTGCGGCGAGCACGGTTGTCTTCGCTCTCTCTGCTGTCCTGCATGAGGTTCTTGTGGGTATTCCCACGCATAATTTTATCGGTATGAATCATTCTCCCGCTTTGTTTTCGGCCCAAACTAACCAAGTCAGGTGTGGCATTTGCGGGCATGATGTTTCAACTACCGCTGATCATTATCACCGCCCCATTGGAGAAGATCCAAGACCCTACTGGGAAGGTGATAGGCAATTCCATTTTCTGGGTCAGTTTCTGTCTTGTCGGCCAGCCTTTGGGAGCATTGCTGTACTTCTTTGCCTGGCAAGCGAAGTATGGTAGTGTGAGTCGAATGTGAACGTAGTGGCACGTTCTTGTCCGCTGTTTGCCATAGATGTAAATAAATGCCATCAACTTTAGCCTGTTTTTTTTTTTTTTTTTTTTTTTTTTTTTTGTCGAAAAGCAAAGCAAGCAAAGTCAATGATTCTGTACCATCGGCGCTCCTCACAACAGAACCTTCTAGGTTCTTCTGTCTCATTCATCTTGCTTACTGCAGTGCCCATTATAGGACGTGTTCTGTTCGCGGTTGACTATTTCTTCGGGTGTGAATGGCAATGCTGTCGGAGTCGGGTCTTCAGGGTTCCGCCAAGGATGCTCTGGATCCGCATCCGGCCGCTCTTGCGCCCCATCAATCGCCGACTATATAAACTGAATCACTTTCGGCTTCTTCTAGACTTCCTAATACCGCCTAGTCATAGCCGATTCAAATTGAAAACACTACAAGTTAATATTCCACCATGCTTACTCTGACCGTCCCTGAAAACTACGGGTATGTGCCAATTCTACAAACCCTGCAAACAATGCCACTAGGTCCCATATAGCCTGATGCTAATCATCCTGCAGCTCCGTCATTGCCGTCGCTCTGGGCGCCATCCCCGTCCTGAGCTTCGTCCATGGCGCCGTCGTGTCTCGTCTCCGTAAGCACGCCGATTGCCCCTACCCTCACTGCTATGCGACCGTAGAGCAGTGCAAGACCAACGTAAGCCAACCCCAGACGAACAAGATTCCTCGAGCTAACATACATTCCCAATCGTGCAGCCCAAGGCTGAGCAGTTCAACTGCGCTCAGCGCGCTCATGCCAACTTCCTTGAGAACTCCAGCCAAACTATGCTCTTCATCCTGGTGGCTGGATTGAAGTACCCCCAGTTGGCAACTGGCCTTGGAAGCATCTGGGTTCTCGGTCGCTCACTGTTCCTTTACGGATACGTGTACTCCGGCAAGCCGCGGGGTCGCGGTCGTTTGTACGGCAGCTTCTACTTGCTTGCGCAGGGAGCTCTTTGGGGATTGACCTCTTTTGGAGTCGCGAGGGAGTTGATTTCCTACTTTTAAGTTTGGATTGACCTCGTGGGTGTGATTGGCGGTGTTGGCTATACCAGCTATATGTAATAACCTCTACTATTGTATATTACTACTCAACGCGTTTACTATGCGTACTGCTAGGGTCCGCAATGACAATGGCTTTCTGATTGACGTGGTCTATTTCCCCATGTGCAGCAGGGAATACGAGCTCTCCAATGAACCTCGGGTGTGGCACATTCAATGGAAGGGAACTCCGCCTTTGCAGGTGTGGCTGAACCCCACGGGTCGGAGGCGGAGCAATCCACCCCCGATGTGGCTGGTGCGTGGAGGGGCTCGCGATGATTTTACTGAGCTTCCTCTTTTTGTTCGACATTGAACGTTGTCATTTGTTTCACCTCATTATAAGGGCCAGTCGCTGCTAAATTATTCGGTAGTATCTGCGCATCTCTGGATCTACCAATTCGGGCTCATCAATCGAAACTTAAAGCTACTCTCATTGCACAAACCTCTTTCATCCCCGCATTAACCCCTCCACCGACACCATGTCCTCCAAGTCGCAATTGACCTACACTGCCCGTGCCAGCAAGCACCCCAATGCTCTGGCCAAGAGGCTGTTCGAAATTGCTGAGGCCAAGAAGACCAATGTGACCGTCTCGGCCGACGTTACCACCACTAAGGAGCTACTAGATCTTGCTGACCGTAGGCCGACCCGCTACTCTGCCTGTTTATGCTGCATGCAAACTTATTAACGGTGATACCGGACTGCAGGTCTCGGTCCCTACATCGCCGTGATCAAAACCCACATCGATATTCTCTCCGACTTCAGCGACGAGACCATTGAGGGCCTCAAGGCTCTTGCGCAGAAGCACAACTTCCTCATCTTCGAGGACCGCAAATTTATTGACATTGGCAACACTGTCCAGAAGCAATACCACCGTGGTACCCTCCGCATCTCGGAATGGGCCCACATCATCAACTGCAGCATCCTGCCCGGCGAGGGTATTGTCGAGGCTCTCGCTCAGACGGCGTCTGCACCGGACTTCGGCTACGGTCCCGAACGTGGTCTGTTGATCTTGGCGGAAATGACCTCTAAGGGTTCCTTGGCCACCGGCCAGTACACTACTTCTTCGGTCGATTATGCCCGGAAATACAAGAACTTCGTCATGGGATTTGTGTCGACCCGCTCGTTGGGTGAGGTGCAGTCGGAAGTCAGCTCTCCTTCGGATGAGGAGGACTTTGTGGTCTTCACGACTGGTGTGAACATTTCCTCCAAGGGAGATAAGCTCGGTCAGCAGTACCAGACGCCCGCATCGGCTATCGGTCGGGGTGCTGACTTCATTATCGCGGGTCGCGGTATCTACGCCGCGCCGGACCCGGTGCAGGCTGCGCAACAGTACCAGAAGGAAGGTTGGGAGGCGTACCTGGCCCGTGTCGGCGGAAACTAATACTATAAAAGGAGGGAAAAAGTTTTGATGGTTATGAATGATATAGAAATGCAACTTGCCGCAACGATACGCATACAACCTAATGTCGAGCACGGATAGTCAGATTGCGGCATCGGATGTCAAAACGGTATTGATCCTGCAGGCTATTATGTGTGGCACGGGATTAATGCGGTACGACGATTTGATGCAGATAAGCAGTTAGTCCTGTAACTCTTGCGTAGAGCAAATGGCGACGGGTGGCTGATAAGGGCGGTGATAAGCTTAATTGTTGTCGCAGATAAGCAATGCTGACTCGGCTTCAACTGCATCCCAACCAGTTACTGCAATTGAAGTACGATACTTCCGAGAATATGTGGCGGACTTAAAAGAATTTGCCCTCTAGACATGCTTCCTCCCTGATCGTTGCAAAACTTACCCAGACAGTCACCCCCAGCCCGAGGCCCCAGACGTCACATCCGGGCGTTGGACGCCATGTCCGTCGCGTGATAAGGGCCGATCCATGCAGCTCCTATCCTTCCATCGTTCCATTCCCATCCTTATCCTATCGCCTCCCGTGAAACTTTACTAGTTTAGTTGGATGCTCGAGCTTGCTCTCGGCTACTTCATCCAATGGATAAGACCCCGATGCCGGTCCTCATTGGTCTCTAATTGGTGTCGCCCCAACCTTCTCGCGATCTCCTCCAACTTCCCCTCATCATCATTACTAACTAATACACTCCTGGGCCATCTCAGTGCTTCCCCTCATCTTTGCCCAAGACACTCTAAGTGGGCCTTCGGCTGGGAGACGTGGATCCATTGGTTCCATCGATAAGCTCCTCGTCCGTTACCCCAGATTGATACCAGATAACATGACATTGACCAGCGGCTTATCACCGAGGTAGCGAGTGAGACCCCCTGCGCCAAGTTGATAAAAGAAACTCGCCTCGTTGTGCTTCCGATGGGGGTCGGATGACGAGTTTTCGGAATGAGGTGACATCCCTTAAAAGGAGACAGCTGTCGCCAGATTGAAAATTCTCCGACGACTACTAACAACCTCTCCCTTCTTCCCCGCTGCCGCGGCCACCCAATTAACCCTCCTTTCTGAGCCAGATTTAACATGGCGGATGAGAAGACTGAGAAGTCTCCCCCACCAATGACGGTGGATGAGGAGACTGGCACAACAGAGAAAATTGACCCGACAATTGCGGAGCACGCGAAGGATGCAGACGAGGCATTGGCGGTTTTCGAAGACCTCCATGGTGAAGTTATCACACTCGATGAGGAGACAAACAAAAGGATACTTCGGATAATCGACTGGCACATCATGCCGATCATGTGTCTTGTCTATGGGATGAATTTCTTAGACAGTTAGTGTATTCCGCGGTAGCCTCCCAAGGTTCATACTAATGATTCGCAGAGACAACATTATCCTATGCTAGTATTATGGGCATCAAGACAGATTTGAATCTCGTCGGCGACAATTACCAGTGGCTTGGAAGTCTGTTCTATTTCGGTTAGTCCAACACACTCTACCAATATGATACATGGTACACTGGACTGACACAATAAAGGCTACCTGGCATGGGAATACCCGACCAACCGGCTCCTTCAGAGACTTCCACTGGGAAAGTACTCTGCCGCTTGCATTATAATCTGGGGAGCGATCCTATGCTGCTTTGCCGCAGTAAATAACTTCTCTGGCGCCATTGCTATCCGGTAAATAGCCTGTTCGAAGCATGTTCCACTTCACTTACTGATCACTATCCTTCAGATTCTTTCTCGGTGTCTTTGAAGCGTCTGTCACCCCCGGTTTTGCTTTGCTGACCTCTCAGGTGAGTGTCACTACCCTCCGGCTCAGCCAATCTTCGATTATCTTACATATAATAGTGGTATACCAAAGCAGAACAAGGCAGTCGAGTCAACATCTGGTTCAGCTTCAACGGATGGGGTCAGATTTTTGGTGGCTTGGTTGCGTATGGTATTGCCGTTGGGACCGACCGTCATGGCTCTTCCATTGAGCCTTGGAAAATTATTTTCCTCGTGACTGGCCTTTTGACTGTTTGTCTGGGACTGATCTTCCTCTGGGTTGTTCCAGATAATCAACTTAACGCTAGATGGCTCAAGAAGGAAGACCGTGTCCTTGCCCTTGCGCGTGTGCGTGTCAATCAGCAAGGAATCGGAAACAAGCATTTCAAGATTCACCAAGTGAAGGAAGCTTTGTTAGACCCTATGACATGGGCCTTTTTCTTCTATGCCCTCATCGCTGATATCCCCAACGGCGGCATTACGAACTTCTTCAGCCAACTGGTTCGCTTGCCCTTACCCTGTCCAACCTACCATGTACTGACCAGCCCGGCTGCCATAGATCACTAGCTTCGGATACACAGAAGAACAGAGTCTTATCTACGGTGTCCCCGCCGGTGCCATCGAAGTCATCTCCCTGCTCGGAAGCGGCTTCCTCGGACAGTACACCAACCAACAGCTGCTTTGCAGCACGGGCGGTCTCATAGCTTCCATTATCGGCATGATACTTGTTGTTGCACTCCCTCTTACAAATAATGTCGGTCGGTTAATAGGCTACTACATGACGCTGGCAAGCGCGACGCCGTTTGTGGCACTGCTCGCTATGATTTCGTCTAACGTAGCTGGCTACACGAAGAAGACGACTGTTGCGGCGATCTACCTCATTGGATACTGTGCAGGAAACATTATCGGTATGCTTTTATCCCAGTTCGTATTGATGGAACATCACAACTGACGGACATGTAATTAAGGCCCCCAAGTCTTCCGTCCCCAAGACGCACCCCGCTATGTTCCTGCAGAAATTACCATCATCGTCTGCTGGGGCGTCTGCCTGTTCATTCTCGCGTTCATCTGGTGGTGGTACCGTGTACAAAACGAGAAGAAGGCCCGTGTCCGTGCAAGTCCAGGTTACGCGCCAATGGCAAACCAAGAGTAAGTCAATGCATTCCTGATATTGTGGAATATCTATCTAACCATATACCAGATGGATGGATCTTACAGATTGGGAGAACCATGAACTTGTATATGTGCTGTGAGGACAGCTAGATTCCTTTATTATAAGGCCTGGTGCCTGTTAATGCCAAAGTTGATGACCACAATGTTCTTCTATGATTACCTATTTCTTTAAGTCAAGTTGAAATTAGCCATGACGATACAATCTTGAAGATATATCACATAACCGGTGGTTCATATGTCCTGCCAAGTTTCATGTCGTTTCTTCCCACTAAGGTCAATAATCCTACCATCCCAAACATATCAGTACTTCATCGATGCAACCGTAGAGGGGACAAAGAGGGTTTCCGTAACTCATCCGATCAGTCAAAGCGATACTGCGGGGGATGCAGCGCAGTGGGTCAACATCCAAACCACAGGCCCACCACCACCACCGATCGCTACCTTGGAGGAATCAAAGCTATAACTACTTACTTCGTGACCAATTCGAAAAAATCGAATGACCATTCCATTAATAAAAGCATTCGCTGTTGGCGCACCATCCACTCAGCTGAGCACTATTCTAAACTCAATGTTCGGATATAGTTTCACAGATATCATCCTGTCGGCGATATTTCTGGAGCCGATGCGGGGGATACTTGGCAGTAGCTGAGCTGAAACTTCGATAGCTTCGATGCCACGACATTCGGCAAACAACCACGATATTATCCCTTGCTGACACACGAATCAGGCGACCTCTTGTCGACTGGCTCCGCTCAGAAATCAATGGGCTTTCTCTCGTGATATCGGAAGTCTTTTACTAGGTAAGCTTCCATTTATAAGCCTGGCACATCATCGGGTTAATAACGTCTTCGAGCATACAGCTATCTTTTCTGCCCCAAGTACATTGCCGGAACGGAATTTGAGCGTTCTTTCATGGATTATGTCTCGCTAAACCGAATGCTGGTTGCAGATCTTGTGAGACTGTTGGGTTCCGTTCGTGCTCCAACGCATGACATGGCGGTATCTCGTCTGCGGACTATTGGTCGCACCTATCCATAACATCCAATGCTACCTGAATTAGTTACTGACTTTAACCCTTGCGCGGCGTGAACGCAGCATAAGAAGGAGCAGACACTCGAATCTCTAAGCCCCCTTCTTCAAGCGCCACCCACCCGCGTTTGCCTAACGTTAACGCCGTCCACAAGATCAACCAGCTCGTTGCAATATCGACAGCCACGATAGCCAACTCCTAGAGCACCAACTTATACTGAAAACATGGATTACTACAAGGCCTCTTTCTTCTATGAACCGCTATTATCAACGAAGCACTTCGTCTCTCAGGAACTTCAGGTCGCACACCTCGAATATCTCCAAATGAGCCGCTGATATACGGAAATACACGATACCCGCTGGCGTGAGTTTCAGTGCATCCCACACCAGTTATGGATACACGAGCTGATCCAACATACCTTTTTTTTCCCCCAGACACCGGTTGGGCAATCCGACTATTTCGTCCACCGAGATCCCGCAATCTTCCCCAATCCAGATACATTTGATCCTGATCGTTGGATTCGTGCCGGAAAAGAGAATGTCAACCTGAAGTCATTTCTTGTTGCCTTCTCTAAAGGCAGTAGGCAGTGCATCGGAATCAAGTAAGTAATGTTCTTTCACTAGATGCAATAAAAATTGTCTGCGCTGAGATATGTACGGAAGTTGATGCCAATCTTTCTCACAGTCTGGCCTATGCGGTACTCTATCTGACCGTAGCCACCTTGATACGCCGGTACGATATGGAGTTATACAATGCCACGGAAGATGAACTTCGAACAGCCCGGAACTTTCTGCTTCCACGCCCTGAAAAGGGCCACGCGACTGTTAATGTAGTGGTCAAGGATATCCTGACCACATGAATGGGTGCTTGAAAGGCAGAACCATACGCTGATGGTAAGTATCTTTCTCGGGACTGTGTAGGGAGAATAGGACTATGCTCCGAATCCCCGACGGCCGCATTAATAACAAAGAAAAGAAAAGAAAACAAGAGAAAAAAAATAAGAAAAAAAATAAAATAAAATAAAACACACGGGTGGAATTCGGAAACGATTAACGGCAGTGGTTGGCACTCCAATTGCTAGGCTACCAATCCATATGTGGACAGACTTCGTCGATCGAACCATCTTTTTGGTGTAAGTCAACTCTCTACGCAAGAGCCTTTTTCTATAGTACTTTTGAAGAAGAAAATTCTATAAAAACATGGGAGGGCAACTGGCACCCGCCCGTCAGGCGGATTTAGTCGAGGCTGATTGAATTGTTCTGGTTACTGAGACACCATGTATGCTTTCAGTGATGATGAGTATCTTGTGTGTGATAGCAGTAGTAGGTGATCAGGCATAAGCGCCTCAACCAACTTCACATGAGTGGTTAGGTCATATAGATACGAAGAATAGCAGCATACTCGATCCTATTCGCCAGGCGTAAAAGTATTCTCACAGCGCACAGATCCGTCATCCTTTTATCAGGCCACCCAATGAAGATCTTTACTTGTGATGAATTCTACGAAAGTATGTCTTCCAAGTCATCCCTTGTGAGATTCTATCTAAATTTGTCATTGGATACCGATTGTGATTGAAGTGCATACATGAACTTTGAGGTACTGTCCCAGCACATCTAATACTCAAATAAGTACTCCATTAACGAACTGCTCCTGCTCCCTCCCCCCTTTTTCTGCTTTTTCCACTGATATTTCCCAAACTCCGATGTAACCACGGCCCCAGTCATGATCAAAGCGGTGACTACATGCCGAAGACCGGCAGTGTTGTTGATAGCTTTTAGTGGCTGGCTGACATAGATCGTCTTTACAACATATGCACCTATCTATGCAGAGGGACCCCCCCCCCCCCACCCCCCTTTGGGTAGGACAGTACTATCACATTGCAGATAGTGGCGACGCTGAAACCGTTCACGCGGAAATCTTTGCCGGTGACACTTATCCCTACTAGTATCAGTGCTCAGATTTGCGCAGGTTAACTTGTCCACAGTATGGATATAAATATGCTCCCCATTACTACTTGGTATTGACTCCTCATCTCAGAGCATTTAAGTAGTCTGGAGACGAATTTGATCATCTACATTCACAAAACCTCTTTGTCTTGACTTCTGAAGAGTTTCTTCAATTCTAAATCTATATTCAAAATTCACTTTGCGTGAATTGATCAAAGCAACGCAACATGGAGATAGGCCTTTTCGGACCCAGCCTTTACTGCGTCGAACGTGGAGAAGAAATACAGAAGCAGTTAGTTTCCAGTGTCTTGGCCATTCCTGGACTCAGAGAATCCTGGGTTCCAACTGTTGGGCCCCAGTTATTTCATCCAGAAAACCCGGTAGGATCCTACGACAAGCACATGAAGTCTTATCCAAAGGAGGAAGGCTTAGCATGGACGCGCACCCTGAAGGACTTTTCCAACATTCCCCGTCCTGTCAAGGCGCCTCCACGCGCTGGCCTGATTCCGCGCGGAAGACTCCACCTGCGATCCATGGCTGAGGGTTACGATGTCCCCGACACTCCATTTTGGCATGCGGTTGCGGAGGTGACATATGGATACTCCTGGTGTCTAATCGATAATAATGTCTTTTGCAAGGACTGCTTGCTTGGAACTGGCACATGCGCCATCTTAGCCTCGTTTCCCGATTATTATCACTTCTGCCAGGATATGTACCCCGTGCTTGAAATGTCTGCCCAGCGCTTGGTAGAATATATTGCTCATGTTGATCGTTGCCATCCCGATGGTGGAGAACATCACAAGGTGATGGATGCCTGGTTGACAACCGCACAGTCTACCTATCTTGACGTTCTTCATCCGAAGGCAGAGAGAATGAAAGGGCCAGAAGACGAACTGCAAAGCATCCGTTATCGACTGATTAACTCTTCTGCTCGGGCTCTGACTCTGCAAGCAAGACTCGAGCAAGGCTCTCTGATAGGAGATGACATTATTATAGATGCTGTCGCAATTGCCAAGATATTCATGCACGACGCATGCGATTACCGGCATGACAACGCAGCCAATGAGTTTTACAATATCATTACAGTAGTCACTTCTCATCGTGGCGTGCCGGCGAACAACATGTTCCGCCGATTCTGCATTGATGTGTGGGCTTGGGCTGTTGATAATGGAGCAGACTGGGCAATTTACATTGCTGGCCGTGTTCTGGCCTGGCAGGTCTACATGGAGCGGTATAGGACCCCAATTCTCTTCGACAATCTTGTACCCCGTGATGCGAACACTCAGCCTACCGATGATCCTTACGGCGACCCTATCCTGAACAGTATGAACCCGCTACCGCCCAGCTCTGATCCGCACGACTTTGACCTCCGCAACCGGTGCCGCAACAAAGATCGGTATGACGAACTTTTGCGCAACTGTTTGGCTCATTTTGAGACCTGTCCTGGCTGTCATGAGTATGATAAGAAGACCTCCTGGGCAGATCGCGTGCCGCTCCTTGGTAAGGCATATGAGACGAAGTACACCGACTGCAGTTGCCTGAACATCATAAGCACGTACATGGTACTTGCTTGTATGGAGCCGGTTTGGTGGGTTATGGATCATGCCGCAGAGTATACCGGCCCAACGGAAAAATGGTCGCCGCTGCTTTGCTGAAAGGTGACTCGATGCGAGGATTGGTGGCTATATGGACACAGTCAGTATGTCCGTCTAAATGGCTAGTAGTGTTCGGCTCGAGATAATCTGTTCTTGATTTCAATTTTATTCATAACAAGTAGTGATTGGTAGGAAAGAAGAAAGAGTTTGCACCGTTTGGTGGTGGTCTTTCCTGTTTTGTCCCGCATTAACCTTCCCTTGCAGGATTGTCAGTCTTCTTCCACTTCCTCCTATTGGAAGGCGAGGATTTCTTCAGCCCGTGAAGGATGACAACATGCCGTTGATCCTCTACGCAATAGAGTCTCACCGGATTTTCGGTGCAGTGCGTGGATTATAATGTAACACACCTATCCTAACATCCTGAATGGGCTGATACTGATGAGGTAAAGTCTGACTAGGGCGCTATGTGTCTTCCACCTCCTAATTTCCCAAACCGTTACCCTCTTATCACTCAGCTTTCTGTTGGATCCAATCTACTTCAACAGCAAGCATCGCCACGCCCTCTATCGTGCTGCAGGCTTCCTAAATGGGATGATCTCACGGCTGTCCACGTCTTTGCATTCGTCTTCTGCCCTGCTTGTGATGCTTCGTTAGCTCGCTTTGACAACCACATAACCACACTTGGACTCACTTCGATGTCTTTTTGATCTTGTTTCTACGCCTACCTGGTCCTATCGCTACATCGGCTATTTACGCTTTGAGCAAAAGCCTGCTGAACGACGCAGATCAGCCCAACAGGTGTGGTGGGCGGGCTAGAGACATCTTCACTCGTGGAGAAGACGTTGCGTGAAGATATGACTTAGCACGAGGTGCATCCACTGCTGAATACCGTAAACCAACGTTACCCATGCGCAACGCCTTGAGAAAGGGATACTAGTCAGCTGAGCAAGAGAGATCGGCAAAGAAACCTGTGACACAGCAGCTTTCCAGACGGTATATCGTTGAGCGAGAAAATAGCGTCATTCTCTTATTTAATCCCAAATTCCTTCTCTTTCCAGCACCCTTGATTATGTCTGCCGCGCGCATTCCGCTGACAATCCAAGAAATTTGCAATCCTAGTATATCATTCGTTACCAGAAGAAAGAATGACTACGTCTGCAGCTGAGGAATATGCCTTGGACAGGAGCTGGCTTGACAACGTTCGGTATGGCTAAAGACCTATTAATCCGAAAGACAATCGCTATATACACCCATTCTCATACAATATAGTATCAATGCCATGCATCAGTTGGTAGGACAAGTCTACCAAGGTCACATACACCCACGTATCTGCACAGCAAACCCGGAAATGAGAATCGCTGATGTTGGGACCGGCACCGCGTAAGTCTGTCAAGAACACAAAACAACCAGTCACATGCACTATACTCAGCAGCTAACAAACTTCCAGTATCTGGCTCACAGATCTAGCCAGTAAACTACCAGAATCCGTTCGTTTGGATGGTCTCGACGTTTCGTTCGATGCTGCCCCCCTCCGCGAATGGCTCCCACCAAACGTGACCCTGCACTACTGGGACGTCAAATCGCCAGTCCCCGAGCACCTAGTCGGTGCATACGATCTGGTCAATGTACGATTTTTTACCATTGTCCTTCGAAACTCTGAGATCAAGGATGCTCTGAATAATCTATCCCGACTACTTAGTTCGTACTGCTTCCAATACCCAGCAACTTACCTTGACCTCTCATTTAACCTAAAGCGATGAACAGAACCAGGCGGCTACCTTCAGTGGACTGATGCAGATATGTCTTCAATCCGACCAGTAAAGATTCGACCTGATATAAGCGACGAACCATTGAAGCGGTTTGAGACCGTCCTTCGAGGGAACGACGAAAGGTTCTACACTTCTTGGGTTCCCGACCTGGGGACTCGCTTCCAAGAAGCCAAGTTCGTCGACGTCGATGTTGATCGCAGGGACCCCCCACATTATATCGCACAATCCCTGTTTGAGACTGTAATGGTGGCCCTCGAAGTCTTCACCAGAAACAAGGATATGAACGAGCAGAAAGTCCAAGAACTGAGGACAACCATCCGAGACGCAGCCAAGGCTTCCAGAGAGGGCTCTTATCTTCAGTATACATATTATAGAGTTATTGGACGGAAGGCCACAGGTACAGAATTATAGAAGCAGTCCTGGTAAAACAATGCTATTACTCTCATCCCCAGCCATCTGTAGGCTGTTCCTCTACAACATCGCCTCTCTACCAGGATGTACGTACACTAATCTACCTCCATTTAACAAAAGGATCTCGACCACGATTGAATCATATATCTTACTGTGACTAGTCCCCTACCTCCTAATCAAAACTTACTTCTCATCTACTCCCCAGTACCACCCAAATAAATCAGTTTGTTCTAACCCAACCAGTACTCGCGGAATTCAAATATATCCCTGTCCTCATCCTACGACCGGTCCAATTATTCTACCTACCTACCACTTAGTATCCAATCAACATAGAATGGATTTGCGTGTAATACATTCATTCCTTCATTCATTCTATCTTATTTTCTTTCCCAGCCTTCCTTCCCTTCCCTTCCCTTTCCTTCTCTTCTCTTATCCATATCAGCTCCCTACCATCAACATTGCTGCTTTCAATCAGATAACTTCAAGAACTTTCTATATAGAACGGTACATTAGGATCTCTCGATCCCAGTTGGCAGTATACAGTACAGTGTAGAATCAATACAAGTCCTTTCTTGTTGTTTCTCGTTACGTCAAGATTGCTGTCTTTTGCTCCTGCTTGATTATAGTTAGTCTATCTCGCTCTTGAGTTATCTCTGTAACATTTTTCACTAGGCGATTGTATGCCGGCGTGAGAGATAATTTGTGGATACTGTGAATGTTATGATTAAGGTTGCGTGTTGATGATGTGGTGGTAGCTGAGTTGGTCGCTTTGGCTCTCCTTTGAGGACTATGGTTGGCTTGGAATAATACTACTTTCGCTTCTAAATTGTCTGGGGATGTTATTGACGGGAACTCTTGCTCAGTAAATAAAACCCATCAAGTCAGAATGCGTACTCGTAGGAGTCGTTCTGAAGCAAATGAAGCCACAACTAGGAGCCAAGCGACCAACAAATGAAGGCATTCATGCTACTCTTCTGAACTCGCCGATCAGCCAACCAATGTTCCGTCTGCCTGACATAGTTACTACGAGTCCAGATATTGCACAAGATATGGCTTAATTCAGTGATGGTCTATCTTAGAAGTGTACTAGACAGCTCCTCTGAACTGATACTTTTCCATTGCAGTGTGTGTCCCAGGAAACAATCTAGTGCTCAGTAAGTCACACTGGTCTCCGAGAAATAATCCACTGTTGGCGGTTTACATACCAAACGATGGGTGATCATACTCCACCACAACAGTCTAACCGGCCTGTGCTTCGTTGCAAGGTTATGCGAAAAGTTCAATCAGTCAGTCATGCTTTCAACCCTTCATCCTTTGATCAGATATTACTTACACACCCCCTCCCCGGTGTCCGATGTCCCAGGCCCGCCCCAGCCGCCCAACCGAGGCATGGCTCACTGCAGTGGTGAACCTGTAGAAGTCAGTCATGCAACTGGACAGCCATAGAGTGGGTAACCTACTGTATAGTGGATATTGAATCCGATACCCAGGCCCGTCCCAACCGCCCATCCAAGGCCTGGTCCTCCAACGAGTAATGCAGAAGGTGAAGCCTGTCAGCTCTTTGACCAATACCAAGCCATAATTTATAACGACTTACACAACCCAAAGCCCCCCACCCCATGTCCGATGACCCAGGCCCGTCCCAGCCACCCAACCAGGGCCTGGCTCACTGCAGTGGTGAACCTGTAGATGTCAGCTATATTTACAACCGAGGAACAATGGCTCGAACTATTCAAACACTTACTGTGTATTAGGTGTTGGATCCTATGTCCCAGGCCCGTCCCAACCGCCCAGCCGAGGCCTGGTCCACTGCAGTGGTGAACCCTGTAGAGAGTCAGTCAGCCACACATTATAAAGTAGAGATGATTCGAAAGCTTACTATGTTGCTAAAGTTAGTTAGTATGACCCAGGCCCGTCCCATCCACCCATCCGAGGCCCGGTTCACTGCAGTGGTGAACTGTAGAGGTTAGTATGTCCCAGGCCCGTCCCGTCCACCCATCCGAGGCCTGGCCCACTGCAGTGGTGAACCTGTAAACAGTCAGCCACAAGTTTCTCCAGCATAATGAGCTAGAACACTTACTGTGCTGTTGTGGTTAGTCGGTATCCCAAGCCCGTCCCATCCACCCAACCAGGGCATGATGTGTTTGTCGGGTAACACTCTACAGTCAGTCGACAATGCAGTCTTGTATCAACACTGCGGATCTAGCAACGTCACTTCCATAATCCCCAACCCCCCTCCCCCTTCCGTGTCCGATGTCCCAGGCCCGTCCCTGCCACCCACCAGGGCCTGGTTCACCACTGCAGTGAACCCTGTAGAAAGTGAGCTACACCTTCAGCTAGAGAGCTATGTGTTGGATGACTTACTTTGCTGTTAAAGTTAGTAGATCCCAGGCCCGTCCCTTCCACCCAACCAGGGCCTGAGGTTCACCACTGCAGTGAACTCTGTACGTGGTTAGTGACAAAGTCGATCAAACGAGCAGTCAATGAGAAGACTCACTGTATGATGGATGTTGAATCCGATAACCCAAGCCCATCCCTGCCACCCATCCAAGGCTTGGTTCGTTGCGAAGTCATATGAAGTCGGAGCAGGTCAGCCCTATCTTTTCGCGGGTCTCGCATTTAAGCACTTACATGTCTCCGACCCCCACCCCCGTGTCCGATGTCCCAGGCCCGTCCCAGCCACCCAACCGAGGCCTGGCTCACCACTGCAGTGAACCCTGTATATATTTAGCCACACATATATTATGGACGGCTGTGAATAGGAAGACTCACTGTGTGGTGGATGTTGAATCCGATAACCCAAGCCCATCCCTGCCACCCAACCAAGGCTTGGGGCCATGCAAAAGTAGAGGCAGTTAATCTTGATCTGTAAGTCACTCATATGACCTAACCCCCCCTCTCCCGTGTCCGATGTCCCAGGCCCATCCCAACCGCCCAACCGAGGCCTGGTCCACCACTGGAGTGAGCCTGTGGACATTGTAGTTAGCCACACGTGCGATCAGGGCAGTCGGACATCGAAGGACTCACTATTTGATGGATGTTGAATCCGATATCCCAAGCCCGACCCTGCCACCCAACCAAGGCTTGGTTTGTTGGAGCGGTAAAACCTGAATAGTTAGCCTATTACGATCAGTGAGATGGGAATGGAAATACTTGCCAGTGCTGTGTTGTCGAAGTCTACAACTACGTCCCAAGCCCGTCCCTGCCACCCAGCCAGGGCCTGGTTCGCTCCACCATGAAGGTGAAGGCAGTCTGTCCTTATTACCATCTAAAAGCCGAAGATTGAGATACTTACTTGACCCAAACCCTCCACCCCCGCGTCCGATGTCCCAGGCCCGTCCCAGCCACCCAACCAAGGCCTGGTTCACTGTGTGAACCCTGCAAGATGTCAGAAACTATGAAATCGAGAACTGAAAGAGGAGTCTAACTGTGTGTTGGATGTTGAATCCGATGACCCAGCCTGTGCCAGCCAGCTAACCAAACCAGGGCCTGGTTCGCTGGAGGCTGCTGAAAGTCAGCCACAATACTATTCAGGAGCCACAAATGGGGATACTTACATTTAGTGCTGGGTCACCTGTGTCTACTACAGCGGCCCAGCCCATGCCTCAAACCCAACCAGGGCTTGATACGCTGGAGGCTGTTGAAGTCAGCCACACTTGCTGTCCGTGGGCGATGAATGAGAGGACCTACCCCAGTGCCGGGTCACCGAAGTGACCCAACCCGTCCCTACCAACCAACCGCGCCTTGGTTCGCTCAAGGCTGTAGAGAGTCAGTCACACTGCTATCTGTGAGCCATAAATGGGAAAACTTACATCTAGTGCTGAGCCGATGTCTACGTGCTACAACCCAAGCCCATCCCTGCCACCCAACCAGGGCCTGGTTTGTTGTTGATGTCTGTAGTTGTCGTGGAGTCAGTTATTTATCCAGATGAGTCAGAGTCATATTCAGGAACATGAGTACTTGCCGCGTTGTAAATGTTGAAAATATAATGGCGACTTATGACCTTCGAGGCCCGACCATCCACCCAACCGATGTTAGCTGAAGGTTTTCACGATGACTGTACAAAGTCCATCATGCCCAGATGTGGCAGCTGGCATGACACTGCTTTATGTCCGATGTCGACAGCTAAAATGCGTCGAATAGCCCAGGCCCGTCCCTGCCACCCAACCAGGGCCTGGCTTGTTGCCGAAGCCTGTAGAATATTAGACATGCACGTGCAAGGAGAGCTGTGGTTGGAACACTTACTGTAAACCCCTGTGTTAGGACCGAGCAGGTATATATAATATGGTCTTCCAGGCCCATCCCATCCACCCATCCATGAGGCCAAAGAAGTTGTCGCGCCTGTGAAGAGTCAGTAAACGGGTAGGCAAGTCAGGGAATACTCAGCAGTTACTGTGTTGTATGTGGCGAGTTGTTGTCCCAGGCCCGACCCATCCACCCAACCATGGGGCCAGAGAAGTTGTCGCGCTTATTGGAAGTCAGCAAAAAAAGAGAAGTTCAGCTGAAGAAGTACTCACTATGTCGTATATGGAAGTAAGTATATATAATAGGGTCTTCCAGGCCCGTCCCATCCACCCAACCATGAGGCCAGACCCGTATGAGTCCTAGACGAAGTCAGTACTAACTATGTAAACAAATCCGAGAATACTCACTGTGTTGTGTTGTCGAGTTGTGCTCTGTTGTCTCAGGCCCGTCCCTTCCACCCTACCGTGGGCCAGAAGTGTTGTCGCGCCTATGATGAGTCAGTAAAACAGGAGGTCGAGTCAGGGAACACTCACTGTGCTGTGTTAGAAAGTAAGTATATATAACCCAGGCCCGTCCCTGCCACCCTACCTTGGGCCGGGTATGTTGTCGCGCCTACGCTGATGAGTCAGTAAGGTACTAGAAAGTGAACTCGGGGACACTCACTGTATTGTGTTAGAAAGTAAGTATATATAACCCAGGCCCATCCCTGCCACCCTACCTTGGGCCGGGTATGATGATGAGCCTGTGCAAGATTAGTAAATCGAAAGTCATTTGGAAGCCAACTCGGATGTAGTCACTGTGCTATTAGATCGCAGGTGCGTATATATAATATAAGGTCTTCTAGGCCCAGCCCATCCATCCAACCATGAGGCCAGACCCGTTATGAGTCCTGTGCGGGTCAGTAAATCGGCAGTCAAGTCAGAGAGTACTTACTGTGTTGTGTGTGCGTGTTGTTGTCCCAGGCCCGTCCCATCCGCCCAACCGAGGCCTGGTCGCGTGTAGGTGTTCTGCACCAGTCAGCCAGTATGATCAGAAGCTCATCAGGGAAGTACTCACAGGTCTACAGTGTATAGTTGAGTGTCGCTACCCTGGCCCATCCCATCCACCCAACCTAGGCCAGTCGCGTGTGGGTGTTCTGTATAATTCAGCCATTTCCGCAGCTAGT